GTCTTCGTATATATTGTTGACACATATTAATGTACATATATAATTTTTTTTAATAATTACTATACGAAGCTTTTCACACATCTAACTAATTTGTTTACGAACCTCTAAATTTTACACCACCGAAAGTACCGTCGTATCGTGTAGTGGCGGTGTAAGAATATCCACTACCATATCATATCATCCCGTGGGCGACGTAAGAGACGACAGAGGGAAACAAATCAGGAGATAGGCCTGATTTAATATCAACTACTAATACAACTACAATTCTAATATCAACTAAAAATAAAAAACTGCTGAAAATAAATGTAATAATTTTTTATAGCAAATGTCAACAGAATCGATTTTTCAATTCGCTCGACTATTACTATTGGATAGTTGCCGATATCAATGTGTTGGGCAATGAAGGAAAAACGTGAAAAAATGAGGAATAATGAATATTTCAAGGACCTGTGAAGCCCGCATTGGGCAGTGGGGCGAATCTTTTCTCCTTTATAATATAGAAATTCTCTGTAATATTTTCCACTATAATATTTAAAATTCATAACTCAATACAGTCACATCGTGCAACGTCGATAAAAACGTTTAATCATAAGTTGATTATTAAGGAAGAGTTATTTGAAAGAAAAAAAGCCGTTTTAATAAAAACTTTTGCAAAAATTTTAAGAAGTGCGAAAGGTCGAGCAGTTAACTGGTTTTACATGACCATCTTTAAATTCTATTTTTCTCGTGTCTAAAGGTATTTTTTGAATATTCTCTTACACTACACAATCTGTGAAACATGCTCATATAATTATAAACTATTATTTACTTACAAAATTTAGTAGTTACATAATAATCAAAAAAATAAAAAAGTAACTGGTTTTAACTGAAAAGTTTTAGAAAATATACATAATAATAATAATAATAATAATAATAATAATAATAATAATAATGTCCTCCAGACCGAATTTCGGTCACGGCGGCCAGCCTCAACGGAGACTAGCCATCTGCGCAGGACAGGATTATAGTGCCCAAGTGTGTGCGCAAGCACAGGTGCACTCTCTATTCCCTCACTCTCATAGTCCGATGGGACGGTAAACCGACACGACCGGAGAGAAATCAGGCGCAGGACCAACGGCTTAACGTGCTTTCCGAGGCACGGGGGTGAGACACCGCCAACTTCCTGACTCCGGGCAGCTACTGAGAATTTCTTGATAGAAAAACTCAATAACTGATTTTTTTTGCCCGACCCGGGATTCGAACTCGGGACCTCATGATCAGCAGTCGCACTACTACAACCACTAGACCAACGAGGCAGTCACAGAATATACATAACAGTCAGAAAATATACATAAACTGTAATCAGACTAATAAAACAAAGTCAATGTTTTAGCAGTTTTATTAACATGCATTTCAAAAACACAATATATTTAAAGTTTAGAAATCCGAACCTGAGTCTATATCTTTGAACTTTCTATCCACGCATGTGAGACACATACAAGATTCAGGAATGATTCCTTTTTGATAACGCTTTACAAGATCTCTCTTTTTACCACAGTAATAGAAAGCAAAGAAGAATACAATTTACCCTATTTTTTTTGAGTAATTTAGTTAGTTAATAATTTTTGGTTTTTTCTTGTAAACTCAAAGTTTGGACCCTTTTCTTCAAACGCTTAGCCTCATAAATAATGATTATAGCCCAAGAACAGTCACAAAACATGATCCTGGGCCAACTGCATCCATCGGCTTTCTGTATCTCCTACCTGGTCGTCATGCCATTTAGTGGGGAACCAACCTACACTTCGTTTCCCGGTACTATACTGCCACTCGAAACCCCTTTTTCCCCATTGGTTGGCGGTGGCTTGGTATATAGTTGTGGCAATATGGCCGGCCATTAGTCACTTCAGCTTAACTGTTGAGCTACGTAGGTTACTTTGGTTATAATACAGCGGATATCTTCATCACGAAGTTTATCAACCAGAGAAACTCCGAGCACAGTCTTAATCATAGCTGGTTGACCACCTTAAGCTTCCTCATGGGGCCGACATTGCATTTCTCGTTCTCGTTTACGTTATCTGCCGAATGCTGCCCAGCCGACTTGAATCTGTCGATTGACCTCTCGGTCGAAGTTTGACTTACCTAATCAGACTATTTGTCCTAGGTTAACATGCTTGACATCAACTTCAAGCGTAGCGCTACCAACAATAACTTAAGTGTGGATACGGATATTACAAATGGTCTAGGCCATGTTCGTTTTAAAACAAAGACGTTAGTGCTTAGATCCTCCAGCGATTCTGCAATATTGACTAAGTATATCATAGGCAAGAGGGTTTGCCATTGATATTGATATCGTATCATATTTAGTCCAGTAGCTTGAAAACGTCTTCCAATGCAGCGGTGAAGAGTTTTGGGGATATAACGTTATTACAGCTCTCTGCATTTGGATAGGTTTCGATGTCAACGATGGTGTGTACAGCAGTCCTTAGAACCCCTCAATGTCACTTAAAATGTCAGGTACCTCTAAACATTCATTGTTCTCTATCAGTTTTCTCTCTCGCGATTACTAAGACCTCAGGGAACTGTTGGCGTCTGGTCAAAACACAAACAATTTTTTTTTAATTTCACTAGGTACTAGGTTCTTGGCGCTTAGCTCCTATAAGCCGTGGTAGCTCAGGGGCTATGCACTCTTAAAAAACTTCACAGCACCTACGCGAGCAACCCGAATCCACCGGTACCAATAAAATTGTTAATATCAATTCTATGTTATAATTTACCACGTGCTCGGTAGAGAAAAAAAACATCGTGAGGATACCTGCATGTCTAAGGAATAAAATACTACTAGGATACATGAAGCTCACCAACACGCACTAAGGCAGCGCCACAGACAAATTGCTCCATAACCCTGTCAGGAATGCCTAGGTATACAGGGTTATTTTTCAGAGTATTAAACTTAAGTTCAAATATATAAATAATGATACACCGATAGTGCAATTTTTGAAAATACGAGTAAATAAGGCTTTCAATTGAAATTATCCCAATTTGAATGTGATTTATGGGCAACAAACCTATTTGCTTACCGATCGACCCTTACGAATATGTGCGTGCGCAGTAAAATCAGTTAAAATAATGCACTACCACGCATTTTGAATTTAAAGATAAAAAGGACATAATGTTTGAGTTTTTTATAAAGAATTCAGAATAAGTAACATGGGAAAATGTTCCCACTTATTCTGAACCTTCTCTGCAAATTTGGCCAGTTATTGCAACCTGTATATGCACCAAGCCTGTATATATACTATAACAATACTACTGGTTATTAATATAGGACAGCCGGTCTTAGTAAGTATGGGCAATGTTGAAGTTACGAAAACAATTCAAAATTAAGTTTTTTACGTAACATCCGAAACTGTATTAAGCGTACGTAGTATTTCATAGACCACAAAAAGGAACAATAGTAAAAAAGTGAAAGTGCAACCTACCGTGACGTTCTGCTGGACCATTGTTTCCAGATTTTATTGTTTTAATGAGGTCTGTCAGTCCTTGACGCAACAGCATAATACGTTTACAGTTGCTTTAAAGTTATAAGCATTGAGTTATATGTACTACGTACTAGAGAAGCCATTCCGAACATTGACTATGTTCAACTGAACTGTAGTGCAATGCCTACAAACTAAATATTGCGTAAATTGAAGATTTGTGAATTCCATAAAATAATTATTATTACATTTTATTTAGAAATATAACCTGTTTGTTTAGATGAAATTAAGATATTTTATATTAAATTTTTATATTTATTTAATATTAATATCTTATTTTATATCAAATTAAAGTCTTCGCGCATGCGCGACTACTACCTCCGCGCATGCGCGAAAACATAGAGTAGGACACAGTTTTTGTTTGAAATGGCTTCTCTAGTGCGTAGTACATATAACTCAATGGTTATAAGTAATCTTCAACATTTTGTTGCTTGTATTTCTTGTATGTGACTTAAATATAGCATTATATGTGCAATATTTATAATTTAATAAACTAGGTCCTAGTGTTAAAATACGAACATGTGCAAGCCTTCGAATAAAGACTCACTGCTGTCCCCATAGTTGCATAATGAATAGTTTATTTATTTTATTTATAGATTTTAAATGATTCAGAGCAAAACATCGCATCGTAAAAATCCTCCATGTTTTTTTTTATAAATATTTCAAGGTTATGTGATGCAAGTTACGTTATCGTGGTAGAGCCACGCTGCAGTTCTGGCTGCAACACAAATGGTTCAACTCGTGGAAAGACCACGTTCTCACAGTATACCCGCGTAAAATAGCAGCTTAATACTGCTGTGTTTTGTATGGTAAATGTAGAGAACAGGAGACCCTTTTTACTTTGAATGAGGCATTCCATCTTAGCCGTCAGGAATGCAACACGCATCAACTTTTACATTTTATGGATGTCTATGAGACATCCAACTACGATCAGGTGGACTCGTAAATCACTCTCATTCTATTATAAAAAAACATGAAAACCGCCATCAAGCGTTGATTTGCGCGATTAACTCTCATCTCTCAAACCTCAAATTTAAACTGTTACAAGTGATTTAACTGGATAGAGTTCATTTAATAAACATCTATTTGCCATAGGTACACACGGAGACTGCGGCTCCTGCTTGTATTTACCGTGGTCGCTAGCTACATCGCTATAATAAGTATTTTGGATTGTCTGGGTCGCACCTCTTACATCTTTAACAATATTAAGATGTTAAGATTCATCGAGAAACTAGGATTGTCGTGGAGTTGCCGAAACAAACCTTTGTTAAACTAATAAGCTCGTTTGTCACTTTTATATTACTAAAAAGCGTGAATCTCAGATACATGCATTCCTAGGCAGAAAATTAATGCTACCTATATTTTAATATAATGTAAAAATTATATTGTTTATTACATAATATTTTTATCCTTTTCAGGTGCAGAATTTTTAAGTAATATATATGTGGAGAATGCTACAATGAGCGTCTTGAAAGAAATTACGGAATGGATCCCAAATCAAAAAATATTCTGTTATGGTTAACTTTAGTCTCAATTTCAGCATCAGAAGTCGTCTCGATATGTCCCACCCCAGAAACAATACTTCCCTGTATATGTACACATCGACGTGAGGATATTCAGATATGGTAGGTTGTATTTAAATCTAATTTATTTTCTTAATAAATATCTTACAAAATACTTTTTTTTTAAATTGATCATTTTCCAGGTGTACGCACAGCGATTTGCAACAAGTTTTGAAAGGAATACAAAAAATCGGCGAATACGTAAAAAAACCCATAGATGAGCTGATAATTGAAAATAATTACCTGCCGTCATTGCCTGGAAAAATCTTTCAAAATGTGAAAATTCAAAGATTGATGATGCGTCACAACGCACTGGAACGCGTGTCAGCAGCATGGCTGGAGACACAAGAACTGAATTTGGTTGAAATATTCATGGTTGAAAATGAATTAAAAAGTATTCCAGCTGAAAGTTTACAAAAATTACAAAGTTTGCAAGCTATTACTATTCAGTCGAATAGTCTGAAAAGAATTCCTTCATTCGTGAACATGCCAAAACTTAGGTACATTAACATAGAGTCAGAAAATTTAAGCTTTCTCAATAGAAACACATTCGCAAATTTACCAAATCTAGAAAGATTATTTATACGTGGGAGCGCAAATTTACGAATATTGGAACAAAATGCTTTGTATAATTTGCCCAAATTACAAAAACTAGAAATTACAGATTGTGGAATTACAGATATTCATATGAGAGCTCTATCTCTTCTCCCTAAACTTCAACAAGTATCATTTAAGAATAACAACATTTCAGATGCGTCTATGGTTGGTAGAGCTATTAGAGATTTACCAATGTTATCTTTATTAGATCTGAATTATAACCTAATTGACAAATTAAACGAGGGTGCATTCGTTGATCAGGCAATGTTAGAAACCTTATATTTATCACATAATTATATAAATATTATACACCATGGTGCCTTCCACAGAGTACCAAAATTGAGAATAGTTGATTTAAATTTTAACAATATTGTAAGAATACATCCTGAGTCATTCTTGCAGCAATCAAGCAGTGGAGTTGAAGAATTGAGTCTTATAGGAAATAAAATTATGCATATATCTGAATTTAGAGCATTGTTAGAAGCATTGCCGAGATTAAGATTTTTGGATATGAGCGATAATTTACTTCAGGAAATTCCTAGAGGTGCTTTGAGAGGTCATCCAAACTTAGAGCGATTACATTTAAATAGGAACAGTATAAAGTTCATTGAAGGAGAGGCATTTGTGGCTATGCCGGCGCTACGAGAGTTACATTTAAGTAAAAATGCCTTAGGTGATACGAACGAAGCTCCGTTTTGGAATTTGCCCTCTTTAAAAGGCTTAGATTTGTCCCATAACTTATTTCAACGACTGCAACCTAAACTGTTATATAACCTTCCGTCTCTGAGAAGAATTAATCTAAGCAATAACAAATTATCAGTAATAGATCCAATAACTTTTATTGAAACACCTTTATTAGAATACGTAAATATTTCTGGTAATTATCTGGTTTCTATACACCCCGCAACGTTTAGAAATTTAGGAAATCTTTATGAACTCGACGCTAGTTCAAATAAATTAATTGAGTTTGTCCCTGGATTGCCAATGAGATTGGAACAATTAAATTTAAAACGGAACCAGATAACTAATTTGCCAATACCTCCCTCTCCAGATTTAGATCTTCCGTCTCTAAGAACTTTAGACATTTCTAACAATGGAATACAAAAAATACCTAATGGAACTTTTAAAAAACTCCATAATCTTCGCAGACTTTTTATGAAACGCAATGGTCTGAGACAAATCCATGCCACAATGTTTAGTGATTTAGACAGTTTAGAAATACTAGATTTAAGTTTTAATCAAATAATTTCAATCCATTTGAAAAGTTTTACAAACCTCGCTCACCTTATGGAAGTTATTCTATATGGTAATAATGTTGAAAACTTCGATTTCATGGCCATTCAAGATAACACTGAATTATCGGTTTTAGACATTAGCAAAAATAAATTAAAATGTTTCACTCCTAAAATTGTAGATAAAGCATTAAAGGTTGAAATTTTAAATATTTCGTCAAATAGCCTTCACGAACTTCCCTTTACATTAAGCTTGTTACCAAAATTGAAAGTATTAGATGTAAGTTTTAATTACATAAAACATTTTGAAGGCAATGTATTTAGTAAGCTACACGAATTAAAGAACATTAAATTACCTTACAACAAAATCATGGACATACGGAGTGGTAGTTTTAGAGACCTTATTAATCTTGAAACAATAGATCTTGACAATAATAAAATAGAAATAATACACCCATTAGCTATAACAAATCTTCCGAACATCTTATCTATTTACCTAAGCAGAAATCATATAATTGATATTCCTGATCGTGTATTTATAAATTTGCCAAAACTAAGAGTGATAGAACTGCAAGGTAATCGACTTCAATTTGTATCAACACGAGCATTTGAAAATACACCTTTAGTACAATATTTAAACGTTAGCAATAACCAACTAACTAGCTTAGAAAATTCTGGCATAAAAAATTTATTTTCTTTGGAAGTCTTAGACTTGAGTTTCAACAAGTTGACAAAAATTACAAGCGAATCATTTCGACATATGGAATGGCTGGTCGAACTAAATCTTGATAACAATCAGATATGCCATATAAGTGGAAAACCATTTGATAATATGCCACGACTTAAAATTCTCACATTACGGCATAATAAGTTAACCTCAGTGGCTGAAAGTCATTTTGAAAAATTAAGAAACAATATCGCAATTTTGGATATTGACGGTAAGATATTAAAAACTATAATTGAGAAAAATATATATTTTTATAGATTCAACATTTAGTGTTTTACGTTTTTCTAGATAATCCTCTGGTTTGTAACTGCGCCGTGATTTGGCTGAAATCTTGGTTACTTGAATCAACATCCACTGGACCAAAATGTGCGGATGGTACCTACGTTAAAGAAATGCCGTTTTCTCGAAATGATTGTCTTAATGCTCCAATTCCAAACTATGACATAAAACCGTGCATGACACATGACAACGAAGCCCTACTACCTAATTTAGCGACATCTCAAGTTTTCTCATCAATAGACAAGATCAATGGATGGACACAAGAAAAAAATAATTATCAGAATAATAAAATTAACACTCGACCATCTCCAGAAGAATCAGAATATTTTTATGATGAGTATGTCGATTACCCGTTTAATGAAACAGTTATAGACAATTTACATGATAATTATACAAAAAATTACGAAACTCCAGACGGTTTACCATATACATCTAATATAAAGTTGGATTTTAAAAATACATCGAATACCAATTTAGCCACTACAGAAAATATACCAACAAGCGGATTGACGTTTTTTGGTATACCTCTTTCTTCTATAGACGTAGGCAAAATCTTTAACAGTGGCAGAAAAATTAATTTACTTGCGAAACGAAAACCAAATCTTTCCAAAAACCAAGTGACATTACCGGAGCCACCAGAATTTGAAACTGGGGGCTTCACACCAATGCTTCCACCTACAGATGGTGGTTTTATGCCTATTTTAAATCCCACAATAGCAGATTCTGGTAGCACACAAGCTTCTATTCCCAAGCAGGAGTACACAAATTATCAAAATATGGAATATACTAATAACAGTTTTGCCACAGCAGAAAAAATACCACCAATAAATTTTATTCAAAACAACACAATGCATACAAAATCTACAAGTGTAATTCATGAATTAGAAGCTTACATAAACCATAATAATGGCACCCAAATAACTTTTAATATGACCAGAAATGTAGAGGAACAAAATAGTAATCCAACTAAATTGAATAAGCACCATTTATTGAAGGATTTGACTATAACTCAAGTTACAGAAAAAGAAAGCATTATAACAACAGATACAAGCAACGACATGTCGGAGCAGACATGGATTGAGTCTACTACCATTCCACACTATTCTTCAATACCGGTAACATTAACACCGCTAATGAATAAAAACATGGATAGCGAACCTACAGCTCTTTCAGCTGTTTTAATACCAACAAACGAAGAATTGGTAAGACGAGAGTACAGTAAAAGGCCAGCTACGATTACTAAAGTCAGTTTGCCACATTTGGAGCAACATTCCGATGCAAATAACCATTATATACCGATAAATTACAGAGAGGCTAAGACTCAATTCTCTGATAAAAGACATATTACAAATTCAAGAACAAAAAATGAGGACTATAAGGACTGGTATTACAAAAACTACAATAATTCTAATTTAGATCCATATATTGCACCTGACAAGAGTACTTCAAAAAGTAACTCACTTTTATATCAGAAATCTATTGTTTATTGTTTGCCATTGTATTATTTCATGTACGTAGTGAATAATTTAGATATTAGAGTGTAATAATACAAATGCAATTAGAAAAACGAATAAATAAATAAAATTTAAGTTTTATTTGTACTATTTATTTATTATTTACATATTATAAGGATTTGTGTTCAGCCCAGTCATAGAGTTATTGCAATCTATTCAATACAATACATAGAGCCACTGCTAAACACAGGCCTCCGCCATAGATTGCTACAAAGTACGGTTCTGAACCTATTTCATCAGGTCGTATTCCATTTAGTGGCGAGTCGCCCAGCACTGCGCTTTTCAGTAAGGACTGCCACTCGAAAACCTTTGTTACTCACGGTTACTAACTACCTACCGAAATTATTCGTAAAAGTTTTACAGGCTGATGAAGACAAAAATACCAAATTCTATTGAAATTTGTCCAGTATTTTTGAGTATCGTGAATACACAGACTGAGAGACTGAAAGTCCAAAAATTGCTCATTTGGTATTACTACCCTTTATTTAAACATCTGGACTTGATTTTTTTTAAATAATGAAGTTACAGACACAACTTTTCTACAAGTTTATTATTATATTGCCGTTGTCTGGCTTATGTGGACTATGAGACCCTTTGATTCATTCGAGATTTGGTATATCCCTTCATCGATGCAAATTGATAATCGGTATATTAAGGTGTTGAAGTAATTGTATACTAAAGTTGTCCGAGGACAAAAACGGAGCATGAAACCTATCCAACTACAGAGTGATGTAAGACAAGGTGACGTTATATTTCCAAAACTCCTCACCGCTGAATTGCAATATGTTTTCCAGCTTCTGGACTGGAAAGTATATGATAATAAAATCAATGGATTATACATAATTTACCTCCAATTTCCCGACGATATATTCATTATATTTTTTTTTTTTTATAGGAGAGGGGGCAAACGAGCATGCGGCTCACCTGATGGTAAGTGACTACCGCCGCCCATGAACAACCGCAACACCAGGGGAATTGCAGATGCGTTGCCGGCCTTTTAAAAAGGAGTAGGCTCTTTTCTTTAAGGTCCCTAAGTCGTATCGGTCCGGAAAAATCGCTGGTGGTAAACTATTCCACAAGGAAATTTTGCGAGGAAGAAAACATCTTCTAAATCGCACAGTGGTGGACCGCCAATCATCCAGATGGTGTGGATGGTATCGGGAGTTCTGCCGCGATGTGCGTTCGTGAAATTTGGCGGCTGGGATTAATCCGAACAATTCCTCAGAGCACTCCCCATGGTAAATGCGAAAGAAAATGCTAAGAGATGCAACATCTCTTCGCAGTGCCAATGAGTCGAGCCGATCGGAAAGGACTCGGTCGTCGACGATTCGAGCCGCTCTGCGCTGGATGCGGTCAAGTGGAAGAAGCTGGCACTGGGGAGCCCCAGCCCAGAGATGGGAACAGTATTCCATGTGAGGCCGAACCTGCGCCTTGTAAAGTTGCAAGCGATGTGCCCGCATGAAATACTGTCCCGCTCTGCTGAGCACGCCAAGCTTTTTAGAGGCCAATTTGGCCAATTGTATTTCAATTTTTATAGCAGAATCCTTGGAGGACCTTAGCATTATTATCAACCCAAGCAGCAAACAAAGCGCTACAGTAGCGGCTTAACAAGTATACGTAATGGCGTTACCTTCATAAGCAGAAAACTTAATCGCTTCTATACCATTGAAAAGGGCCCACTTTATAAGGGCTTCAGTTCTACAGTAGTGGTACGATAGCGGCATAGTGAGTTTGTAAAGCGATACAAAGGTGCGTGAAATGTAATTTTTGGAGCTAAAAGATATACAAGAAGTTTTTGTGTCACCGTTATAGCCATTTGCTTATGATTGCGACGCGACAGTAACTCGTAGTTAAATCTTAAAGCATCTTAAGGCATGCAAAAATCTTTGATTATATAGAAAGGTATATAATCAAAGGCAAAAATGTTAATTACTCTAAAGGAAGATAATGATTTAATTTCGCTTGTGTACGTAGGATATTAGTGCGAGCATCATTTTTTTGTCAAAATATGCATTGGTTTAGCCAAATCTTTCATGCGCCCGCGAAACCTGTGAAATTTCCTGTAATTTATTTTACTAAAGAGCATTAAAATTTTAAGGTTAATTTTGCAAATTCTTTTCGATTGAGTTATTGGAACTTGTGTTCAATTTATTAGGGCGTGAAATGTAAAAGGGTTTATTTATTGTGAAAGTATACTCTCTAACATAAGAAATATGATTGTTTTATTAACATACATAATTCATCAAATACTGCCATGTAATGTTGACCTTTTACAAAAGCCTAAGACGTCTACTATATCCACTATAACGGTTATAGAAGTAGTACGGTGCTAGTGATAGTTATTTTTAGACCTTTAAGATCTACAATAACCAAACTATGGAGTATCTTTACTAATTTTGAGATGCAAGAACACTTTAACAACCCTTTTTACTATCGAAATATTTTAGGGACCGTTCGTAATTTGAATTGATTTTATGAACACATCCAAGACAAAAAAAATTATAATTTGTAAAATTATTAAAGGTCTTATACAGACTTTACCGTACTAATGTTAATGATAATAAAGGATAATAGATTAAAAACTCTTATAGCCGTATAAAATATCTTCAGCATGCCTAATTTAGACAGCGGCTACAATTAGGTACACGTTATATTTCACAAATAAGCCGCTTTTGGTGCTTCTGTCAAGTTTGGTGATTCTCCAATACGGTAAAAGTGGTTTTTAAGATTCTCATAGATCTACTGTAAAGCTGTAGACTACATAGTACTACTTAGTATTGTCTTGAGTGCTATAAGCAATATTTATAACTCAATTGAAGCACTCTTGTCTTCGTTTTTCCTCTTTTAAGTTTGTGTTAATAATTATATTTATAATTTGGCTTTATATCTAACGCCTGTACAAAAGCTCCACAAACCCCTTTTTGTCTCCATAGCTATTATCGTCACTGTTAAACGGCTACATTATGACTCTGCTTTTAAAGAGATATAGGAATCTGTTATGTACCTATAGGTTAAGAAAGATACAAACTTCCTTAAATAGCTGTTATACAGCAAAAGGGCGATACAGTGCCTGCTTATATTGCTTGTGTGTTACTTGGGAAAGATCTCATTAGTGATAACCACTATACGTGGTAGAGCCATGCTGTAGTTATATTACAGTTGTAGCACGAATGAGTCGGCTCGGCCGGGGAAGGAACACGCTCTCACAGAATACCAGCGTAAAATAATTGCTTGATGCTGCTGTATTTCGTATGGTGAGACTAGAGAACCGGAGATGCTTTTTACTGGAAACGAGGCATTAAAAAAATTGACGTAAGGATAATTTAGATTGAATCACGTTTTTATCTGCCGACTTCCAAAAAGGAAACGGTACTCAATTCGACTGTATGCTTTTTTTTCTCATAACTTTGTACTGGGTGAACCGATTTCGATGATTCTTTTTTTATATGAAAGCTGATAGTTCTCGAGTGGTCCCATATGAATTTGATCAAGGTCAGACCAATAGTTTTTGAGTTATTCTTAAATAACTTATATTGAAGTCGGCTGTACAAAATTTTTAATTTTAAATTATTTAAATTAGAAATGTAATATAAGTAAAGTTACAGCCTAAATACGTCCCACTGCTGGGCATGGGCACAGGCCTCTCCTGATATCTGAAAGGGTTTTAAGGTAAGTTTAAGGCAACTTCACATGTCTTCGAAATATTTTTTTCCTTATTCCTCAGACATGCAGCCGTGGTAGCTCAGATGGTTAGCACTCTCTGTAAATTTCACAGTACGCGAGCAAACCGGGTTCGATCCCTGCCGGCACCAATGAAATTTTTAAGTGCTGATTTACCACGTGCTCGGCGGTGAAGGAAAACATCGTGAGGAAACCTGCTTGTCTGAGGTAATGTAATATGCAGATGGATAAATTAAAAATACAATGATAGTCCGGTCAAAATAGACATTTCAAATAACAAAAATGCCGACAGAGCTGAATTTTGGTAGAGACCTTGAGTATACCAGTAGAAATAAAGTTTCCAAAGTCCCCATCAACCCCATGTGTGGTAGAAAAGTTATTCAATGTCAACGGTAAAAATTTTCGGTTTTTTGGATTTTTCTCGAATACGGTAAGATTTATTAAATATATAGCCCAGACAAAAATTGTAGATCATAAAATTATATACAAAAATGTCCCTATACGTTTTCCTAACAATCACCATTCCCAAGATATCACGATTCTAAAAGTTGAAGGTGTTACGTTCTTCATGATAATATACACACATTTCCACAGCACCTGAGAGGTACGAGGGACACACTGAAATGATCGGGAATAAGAAAAACCACATGCACGATATAGCTAAATTGTATTTTATTGTTTTTCCATGTATTCTCCGTTCAACTTAATACACTTTTCCATTCGTGTAAACCAATCATTATAACAGTAATTCCAGTCTGAAGTTCATGTTGACAAAATGGCTGATTTGTACGCTTCCACAGCTGCTTCGGGGCCTTTAAACCGTTGACCCCGTAGTAAATCTTTCATTCTAGGGAATGTAAAAAAAGTTTGGGCTCAGGTCAAAACTGTACGGAGGATGGCTCATCAGCTCAAGGTTTTCCTGCTTCAAAAAATCATTTGTCCTCCGAGCCGTATGGGAGCTCGCATTATCGTGATGTAAGAAGATGCGACGTTTCGGGTTCTGGCTATCATTTCTGGTAAACAAACCGTGATATACCACTCAGCGGTAACCGTTCTGCGTTCCTGTAAAGGAATTTTAGCAACACGCCCCTTTTTCGAGATAAGCGTAGCAAATATTTTCTTTGACACGCTGCGGGAGCGAACCACTTTCGTTGGTTTGACCTCGTCTTCAAAGACCCAAACTGCTGACTGATGTTTTCTTTCAGGTTCGTATGAATAAATCCATGATTCGTCACCTGAGACGATATTATAAACGGCATTTGACTTCCCTCCGTTGAAGCGTTGCAGAGAATTCCGGCAACGATCTACACGAGCCGTCTTTTGCTGTTCGGACAAATTGTGGGGAAACT